GCAATTGATCTCATAAGTGTGTATGTTACTGCTGCCTGCCTACAAAGTTGTGGAATATTTGTTGAGCAGGAGGTTAGACATCGGGATTCTTTTCTAAGCATTTGCATCTCAAGCTGGAAAGGATTGCAAAGATGTTATTCTTAAAGACATTTTTTTACAGCAAATATATTATTTCTGTATATATTTATAGGCCATTAACAGAAGAAATTAACTTCCAGAATGGCACTCAGCACAGCAGTGAATTCAACTGTCCGTGCACATTTGTATGATTCACATTTGCAAATCCTGTTCACTGAGGTTACCCAACCCTAACTAAGACTCTTAAAGTGTGAAAATGAGCGTGTGTGTGTGACATTTTTCTGAAGAGTTCTGTAACATTAAATAGCACTGCTTGTATGTTGTATATTGACCATATTCAACTGTTAATGAAACTAATGTATTTTGCAGAGGCTATGATTAAGACAAACCTCATTCATCACCACATTAATTAATTTTACTGGAGTTACACCATTAGTTTTATAAGAAAGAAACTGACATAAAGCCAGAGCAATGATGTTGAGTCAAACCTACAGATGTAACACTATACAGTATTCAATACCTTCATTAAGCACAAAAATGTAGAATAATATGATTTCATTTTCTGACAGAGGATAATATAATTTATTTGCGGTTTTCAACATCCGTGGTTGGTTCGTTGTTTGTTTGTTTGTTTGTTTTTTCCCCTGGGATGCATTGCATGTAGCTTTTCTTTGTGATATAGGCAAGCTTTGTTGGCCTTTGGTTTTAATTGGGATCAATACGTCTTCATTCAGAGTTTAATGAGATTCACACCTCTTGAGCTCCAATGTTAATCCATCAATTAGAAATGAATTCTATAATGAGAAATTTGTGAATGAGAAGACTACACTGAATGTTACTTGTTTTTCTTTTTTTCCAAACACAGAAATCAAATGTTTTTGCAAAGACCAGTATGTCCTATAGCATTTCTTTACCAAATGGATGAGGGATCCCAGTTGGAACTCCATGATGATCCACCATCTAAACTAACCTCTGTTACTTGGAAAGTTAGCAGACATTATTTTGATATGTTTTTAATTGGTATTACCATATTTCATGTCTTCTTTCAGATGATCAGAATAAAATAGCATCCTCTTTTTTCTGTCTTTATCTTCTCAATGGAAAGTACTATTTAACTTAAAATCTTGTGTGTGCATTCATTACTGTTGGGCTTGATGACCTTAAACACCTTTTCCAACCCAAATGATTCTATGATTAATTAACAAAGAGAACAGGAATTCTGAAGATGCTATCAAGATTTTAGGAATGTGTGTACAATCCTGTAGCTGTTTTGTTTTTTTTTTTTTTCCTTCTAGCCCTGCTGTTGCTTGTATTTAGTCTCTATATTGGCTTATTTCTTTCTGACTTTGATGCACACTCTGAAGCTTTTTGCAAACTTTTTACTGCTGTACCTTCTTAAGGGGAGGAGTATGGCTTCCACCCTGTGCTTTGCAAGGGACAGAGGCCACAGACCCGGACAGTGGACACAGAGCTTTGTTCTCCCGGGAACTGATTGGAGTGGAGGAGTTAAACAAGACAGCCCTCTCTAGGAGGAGGTGTGGCTGATCAGGACTAGTTCTGTTCTACCAGTAGGAGTTGAGGTGGATAAGCTTGTGAAGAGCAGTCAGTACTATTTTGATCACTGCATTCTTTGTATCATCAGTCTCTGAACAAGCTGAGCAATGGCCTTGGCTGGCAATACTGGTGCTCTTCCTTAAAAATGTTAGTTTAGATGCTTGAGGGAGTGGACCACTTGCTATGTGAGGAGAAACCAAGAGATCTAGGCTGGCTCACCATGAAGAAGAGCCAGCTCTGAGGGTGTGTGGGGGGGTGGGGGCTGTCACAACAGCCTTCCTGAAACTGTGAGGAAGTAACTGAGAAGATGGAGCTGGGCTCCTCACAGTGGTGCACGGTGAGAGGATGAGATATGGTGAGCATACGTTGTAACAAGAGTTTCAGACTGGTTATAGGAAAAGCATTTCCCTGATGAGGACAGCCCAGCAGTGGGACGGGCTGCCCAGGGAGGTTGTGCATTCTTCATCCTGGGAGGTTTTCAAGATTTGACTAAGTAAGCCCTGAACAAACTGGTTTGACTTCAGAACTGACTCCGCTTTGAGTAGGTTGATCTAAATGACCTTCTGAGGTTCCTTCCTATGATCTTATAGTTTCCTGATACTTAGCACATGATGAACAAGAATAAATGAGGAGGACTGGGAGCAGCTAGAACAAATAAACGGTGACGACTCAGAGGTGGTAAAAGACTGGAGAACACCAAGTGAATGCATGGAAGTGGATCGCTGATCTTTGTTATGTTAGAAATTATTAGGTCCTTGCTTAGAGAGCAGTGCACAGTTTTATCACTTTTATGTTGCAAGGTTCCCTTTAAGACTCCAGTGTCATGAACAAATCAGGTTTTTTAATGCCCTGCATTAGCAGTTCTTTCTGTTGGTGACTGAAACTGATTTTGCTTATGATGTGAAGGAAGATGAGTCCAGCCTCCGCAACATTGCTCAACCATGTGCTTTAGCCCTAACAAAGAATGGGAGGCCAGCAAACTTCTGAGCACCAGAAATACTCATGCTGAAACTCTTAAGTTCACTACTGATAAAGACTCAGCTGGTTTTTAATCACCGTGATGCACTGTTGGAAATTGCACCTTTGTGCTTAAGCACAGGAAATGCTTGGTTGATATTTTAATTTGGTAAAATGCCATGATGAAGACCTTTTTTATTTCCTCAAGCATTTCACAAAACAGATTTCCTCCCTGACCAGAGAAATTACAAAACAGTTTAGTAGTGGTTTATGTTGCCATACTGCTTATTTAGATAAGTGGTATGAAGAAAAAGAGTATGAGAAGAGTGAAGGATAAATATGTCAGGGAAATAAAACTGAAAGGAGCACAAGGTTTAAAAAAGACTTGGAGTGGAGAATAAAAGTAGGGATAAGTAATATCACATAGAAAGGAGCGAAGACAGACAAAGAGGATGAAAGGAATGTAAAAGAGAAAGTGAAGAGTCTGACAAAAACAAGAAATATAATTAGCAACTAACATTTCAAGAAATATTAATAAAAATGGAAGGAAATATTATGCAAATAATGACTTTTACAGTTGGAAATGCTCCCTAGTCTAGCAGCGTGTGTTTGGCAAATACTCTGTATCCCTGACTTTGGAAAACTGGAGAACCTCGTTTAAACTTAAATTGGTGGATAACAAAATATGTGATCACTAAAGTGCAAAAAAATAGCCTATCACTGAATGAATTAAGTTTGAATCAGATTTCTATTATTCTGGCCACACCAGTTTTCATATCTGATACTTTAGGGACATTTTTCCTTTTGAACAAGTCAGTAAACTGACAACTGGCAACAATGGGTAGCTCCTGTGCAAGCAATTGAAGGATTAAGATTGCAACCCCTCTGTCTTCTAAAATAAGGCTAAGTTTTAGGAGGACCTAGGGACTCATCCTTCTGATCCTCCTCAGCTCCTATGCACAATGATGGCATCACAGAGACTTTGTGTATGAGTAGAAGGGGAGTGACAGGAACATATTTCAAACCATCCCAGAATATAATACTAGCTCTGCTGTAACTAAGTCACATTTCTCTTTGTAATATTAATTATAAAAAGAAAAGTGCCTGATGTCCTGAAAAACCCTTGGAAGCTGTGGATAGCAAAGGCTGTAAGTGTGTTCTGTTGGATTTTGTTTTGATTGCACACAGGCTACAAAGACATGGAGACTCTAGTAGCGCTCCCTTTCTTTGCCTGGAGACAAGAAGGAACTGCAATGGACTTTGTTTGCAGCACAGCCTGGAGCTCTATTAGATCATGAAAAGAGAAGAAATTCCAAAACCAGTTTTGTTTGGGTCATCACTAGGACTTCTAGAGGTGCTCCTGCTCAGCTGGCACTCTCCTGGCTCAGTTAGTGACTTTGCATACCTCGTTGGTTTTGTGTCCTACAATATCCCATCTAGCTGCTTCTCCAAAAATAATGGCCTCCCCTTTATTACTCTGCTTCACTTTGCAGGATTTTTTTTCAGTTCTGTTCTTCATACTTGGAAAAACCTTTCCATCCTAAAGTACAAGCCATAAAGGCTCTCTTCTTTCCCATTTTTTATTTTTTCTCTTTTGGGGGACACATCAGTGAATAGAACATGTTTTAATAATGACAGTTAATTACTATCACCAGTCAGTTATTATAACAATAAGTAAAATTTACAATATACCATTTTAAAAAATTCTGTATCTTATAATTTCCTATACTCCTGATGTACTAAGATGTACGTTTCCCCAGTAGACATCAAGTTTTAGCCTGTGTTAAGTATGCAGGCAGTGCCTCACTGGTGATATTTAACAGTAATGATGACAGCTTCAGTGGAAATTGCAAAGCCAGATATAATATTTTGCAGGCTTTGAAACTTAATATCTGAGGAAGAATTCAAATTGATATTTTTCTGAGAAGAGGCATTAGAAATAGGACTTACTTGGAAGGTCTGATTTGTGATGGTTGTCATCCCTGGGATGAACTTTATCCATGGCCGGGATCTACTTCTGTAGATCCCTGCCAAGGGGATTATGAAATGGTGTTGGGAAGATGGCAGAGAGTGTTGATTCCCATATTGATAAACAGATGACAGGAACTTGTTTGCAAGAAGGAGTAGCAAAAGGGAAGAGTATGGGATGTGCTTTTCATATTAAAATCAGTAAATCATGGAAGAATGTCTCAATGTGTTTTGAACGGTTCAGTTTGTACAATGCATTCTCTTAATGCTGTCATGCTGCCATTATGCTATGTTTGTGTGGAAGCACCTAGGCACACTGCTTCCCAGATGCTTTATTTTGACCTTGAACGAATAACAAATGATTCCTTAAACTGTGAAAATCCAGATACTTATGCTTTTTTCTTTTTCTTTTTTTTTTTTTTTTCCTCCTTCCTTTTATCCAGGGAAAAATTTATCAGTCACACAGAAGAAACAGTACTGCTCTGAAGGAATCTGAAGGAATGTCGGAAGGTGCTTTGACCTGGTGGTGACCACAGCTGCTTCATTAAGGGAAAACTGAGAAATTGCCCTGAGTTACCATCTGTCACATTTTAACCACCTCCTGTAGTGGAAACTGGCCGTGCAGGCCAACCCAATGTGTGATTTGAGTTTCGCTCTGTTTTGTTTTGTTGGGATCTCAGAATTGCATTTTGAAGAAATGATCAAATTAAGCACAGATCTCAGTCTTCATAGGTCTGCTTGTGTGGGCATGTAATATCTTCAGCTTCGTATGGCTTTGAGCATTCCTGAAAGAGCCTTTGATCTGAGTTAGGATGTTTAGTATTTCTGAGGACATGGTACTTCAGGATACAAACTGTTTAGGAAATGAGACAAAACTGCATTTTTACAAGGATAAGTAGGAATTGGGAATGTACTTCATGTGCACTGAGAGGCACTTGGAACATCAAAGCTCTGTGTCCTAATACTCTAGATAGATTGATTATTTCTACCACATGAATAGGTCACACTGAATTTAACTTTGAGATAAGGCATTTGCATGCATACATGCTTTTCCCGAAATAGGTGGTTTTGTGCACACTGGTTGGTAATAGTACACGTGATACAAACAAATTTTGCAAGCACACTGCACAATACGGATTTATGCACCCATAGCCCCTACTATTCATGTCTGAGTACCCTTTTGTGAAGGCAGGGAGATGTGAATGCAGGCTCAAGACTTGTGCAGAAGGGATCATACAGGTACATCCATACCTTCTTTACCAAAGGCACACCGCACTGTTGAAGTCAGTGGCAATACTCATGCTGACCTGAATGGGAGCAGCTGTGGGTACTGCGCTCTCAAACTATCCCTTACAGTGTAATACACTTTCAGTTTTGATAACTGTTTTATGACTTGTATTTCCTTTTTTTTTTTTTTTTTTTTTTTTTTAATGTTGGTCTAACTGCTAGAATGTGCTGTCTTTACAATGCTTAGTTGCCCAGTAATTCCAGCTATCCTTTGAAAGGAGGCAGGAGGATAATAAACTGTGGAATCCCAAATCAGATTAATGTAATGTGCATTTCTAGATTACGATTAGTATCAAGATGACAAGTTGGCATGGTAACACTTGAAGCTTAACTACGAGTTCTTAAAATAAAGCAATGACATATGTGTAGGTTTCTATCCACTTGCACACTATCCACCTGATAACATACATCATTTCCACAATGCTCAGGCAATTAAACCCTACTTCTTTTTTTTGAAATGTGTTGAACTAAAACGTCATGCCTCTTTCCTAGTATTTATGCATAATCTCCCACCATAAGTTATAAATGTTGATAATGAACCTGTCCATCTTGTAGCATCTTAGGCTTTCTGCCTTTTGCTTTCATTTTAAAATGATTAGCATAAGGAATACAGAACATGCTTCATTCTTTGTGGTTTGTTGATCTCCTTTAAATTCTACCATGTCCTAATAAGAAAATTGTCTCACTGGTATTGGAAAAGTCTTTTTGTTAATTAAATTGATAGACCAGTGAGTGCATTTCGTGTGGTTGAGGACTGGGAATGAAAATCCCAACTTTACCTCAAATCATTGCAAGAAAGCAGTAAAATTTTCAATGTGAGATTACTAGCCAAGACAGAGAGCTTAGCTATTATTTTCTAGTTGCCTTATGGTGAAAAGTATTGTCTAGTTGTTACAGAGTCTGTTCAGCTTTCTTTCACTAAGTAGAAGTTAACTTGTTTAATGTGCTATCTATGGTAAATATACCAGGGGATGCTTTACATGTGTTGTTGTTTTGTGTTAAACTTTCTCAGAATGCAGAATTGGGCACTTTGTTCTGATTGCTTTATATGCACAATATTGCTTTAACCAAATTCCTTACAGTGAAAATGAAGATGCTGCTAAGATCTGTGTAAGTAAATGCAATCTATTTCTGTCACCCTAAATAGACAAAATGGGCAGTGTTACATGGAAAACATGATTTCTTTGACAGTTCAATTATTTATATATACCCTACTGTATAGAGCATGCCAGGATATTGAAAATATAGCTTACAGTATTTCCACAGCTCCTTACACAACTTTTAAATCTCAAATTCTGTTCTTCACACCACTATGGATGGCAGGTGATAGAAGTACAATGATTGACCCCAGCATGATAATCATGTTACATTCAGAATAATACAATTGCCAGGAAATGTTTCACTTACACAGTGGAGTTCCCAGGATAAAACTCCTGCTAAGGCATGGCTGATGTTTGTCCTTGGGGCCTTTTAAAGAGTGGAAATCCTGACCTGTTTTTCATAAATCCACAAGTATTTCTCACTTGAAGATGAAGGCTTTTAGTATTTGCATTTACTGTGGTTGTGGGATGGAGAGAGGGAGGGACATGGGCATGCTGGGTTTTGCCACTAATCCTTTGGAAATCCTTTAGTGCCTTAAGGAGGCAGAGGGGGAACAGACCATAGGATTACAGAAACTTGTTCAAACCTCTTTCCTGCTTTATCAGAATTCCTTGAAAATACATTGTGCCTTTGGCTCCAAACATATTTGCATTAGAAATAAGTAGCCATGGGATTGTGGACAAGAATTTTTTTCCCTGCACAAATGTTAGGAAAGAGCATATACTGTTTCTTATACAGGATGTGAATTAAAAATACAGCTAACTTAAGTTCTGTCATGGGGATCTATGCATACTAGGAAAGTTGTAGGTAAAAAAAAAAAAAAAAAAAAAAAAAAAAAAAAAGGAGAAATTTTAAATGTACTGGATGAAATGCTTGTACCACTGAAGTGACTGGCAAATGTCCACTGGCTTCCCTGGGACAAAGATTTCATGCTTGTTTCTACTTGGCTTAAGAAACACTCACACATGATAAATAGGCATCATGCTCTCTTTAATGTTATTTATGCACATAGGAGAGGAAAAAATATATTAGCATTTGTGGAGACCTGACTTGATTTGGAGTTTTTGGGATCTGTGGTATAAATCTCTGTTCACTATTGTTTCTCTATGTAACATAGACTCTTGCTATGGGAATATGAATATGCAAATCTAAATTCCAATGTGAGAGGTTACAGTGCAGTGTGCACTAACCGATGCTGAACCGCTACATCTGTCTACTCTTTGAATTGTGGTCTTTTTTAAAAAGAAGGGAATTGTAGTTAACAGGTGAAAACCACTCCTGTGCAAAAGAAAGCCTGTGTGAGGCAATTCATGCACTCACTGATGGTCCTAAGCAGTTCTTAGGAAAAGTTGAATAAGCTTTTAGCTCATGAGTGAATTTTATCTTTTAAGAATTAAGAGCAACTTTTTGGTAAAGAGCTACCAAAAAAAAAAAAAAAAAAGGCAAAATACAATGAAGGCCTGAAAATCGGAGTGTTGGTGGTCTTCTATTTTGCTCCCTGTGATAACAAGCAAGTTTTAAAGAATATGTAAATAGTTAAAAGAAAATCACATGACTTGCAGTATGTAAGACAAGACCCAGCATGGAACAGATTCTTATAGCTTGTTTATAAATTATGCTTCTGTCTTTTCTTTGGAACTTGGAAAAAAAAAACCATGTAAATTAAACAAGGAGTAAAGACTTACTGCACACATTTGTTTGACTGAAACAAAGATACTTCCCCACCTCCTGAGGTCTTAATGAGTAATCTGGGATGAATAATGCATGGAGATCTTGCCTTCTGAGCTCTAGGGCTGTGCAGCTATTTAACTCTTTTGCACAGCCAACTGTGGGATGGTAACCAGAAGTCATGAGGAGCAGTTGTTAGGGCCACAAATTGCGATCCATTTGAAGAGGTGCCAAAGAATGAACAAAAAGTCTGGGGTTTATTGTGTGATACTTATTAAGCAGATCTACCAGTTAGACTGGGGAGGGAGGGGTGTTTGTATATAAATGCTAGAAGTTTCAATTCCAACCCGTGACCACCCTATAACCAGGTGTCAAATTGGTCTTGGCTAGCTGAGAAGCTTCAATAGAATGAGAGACCAATCTTGTTTTCATCCGTTCCATTAAAACCTTCTGGATAACTTTTCAGCAAAGATTTCCACTTTAAGACATTTGTAATAGATATCAAATGTACATATGTATTAATTTTCAGTGTAACTAGGGAGGATACAGAACTGTAATGAAGTCACAAAGTCTACTTGATGATTATCACAGATTTGTAACTCTCACAAATTATGTAAGATATGTTGACAATTTATCTTGTTAACAAGATGTATTTTTCTATGTTAGTTAAATGTATAATTTGTATAATTTTGTATATTAAATGTATGCATATTTTAAATTAAAAACTTTATAATTTTAATTATTTTAACTCTAAAATGGTGGCAGAGCTTCTGAAACATAGTTGTAAATGCAACTGTGTCCAGGAATAGCAACTCCATGGAAGTCTCCATTTTGAAGAATGGACCAGCTGGTCTTCTAACAGGGTAAGGAAATTGTTACACCTGAGCTCTTGCCCCTCATGGTGCTCAGGAAGTTGGGCACATGAGCCTTCCCCAGCTTGTGGGCTTTTGGATCAATGGTTCCTACATGTAAAAAGACAGTCCCAATCACCAATCCATGGGATGGAGTTTTGTGGGGGGAGGAGGACACTGCAGCCAGAGATACAACAGCCTTGCAGAGCAGAGAGAGAGAGGCTGACTCAGTGACTGAGCAGCTCTAGTCACTCCTCTGGGAGAAAGAAAACTCGGGTCTCCTCCACATTTACTCCCTTTGGGGTGTTCATGCCTTTTTTGTCTGACGATTCTGTTGTAAAATGCACAATAACAAAAATAGGTGCAAAATGTACATCACATATTCTCTGCGTCCCTGCACCAGGGAAGCCTTGTTCTAGCTCATGCTGTTCATGTTGTTGCAATAAGAGTTCCATCTATAAGTGGAGGCAACCCAGTAAATGATATCCTTCTTGTTGGACTTTTGTTGGAGGTTTTTGGTGTGTGAAGCAAGCATGTCTCTAGGTTTTCTGCAATCTCTCATCTAGTCTATTTGGAATAAAGGTCCTATAGGAAGAGGGTGCGCTTTCAGTAAAGCTCTGTCCTCTTTTCATCAAGCTATGTCACGACAGGATGAGGTGCAGTGTCTGCAAGAGAATATACCAAAGCAATATATTTCTCCAAAGTTGCATACATATTTTTAGGTAAACTCACAGGGTGACAGGGTATCAGGCTGTGAATGGCTCTGCTTCTGTAGCACCTAAAACTGGCAATTTTTTCTCTTAGTGAACAGAAGAACAGTATGCATCTGTTGACTGAAAACACAGTTTTTTAATAAACTAAGGGCTACAATATGAAGAAAAAAAAATCCATTTAAAATCAAAGACTCTGATACAATTTTATGCTTATTTCTAATGTGAAAGTTTAATGCCATTTTCTGAAGCATTTGACATGTTCTCTGAGTCTTGTGGTCTCCTTAAGTATCAGCATTAAGACGAATGTCCTAGCTTAATACTGAAACAGCATTGTTCTTTGTTATTTCAAAAAACTGAGCAGTTTTAGAGACCTAAATATTATCTAAGTAGATCCCAAGTGTAAACAGAGTCCATCTTCCTTAGCCTTATGGATGTTAAATAAAATATGATTTTCATTTAGCAGACACATGTATTATATACAACATACCAGACCTTCTATGGGACCATGAGAAGTTTTTTTTTTTTTCTGGAGGTTCAAATGGATCTCTTGATCGGAAAGAAATGTCTCATAAAATGAATAATTTTTCCAATGCTTATGAAGACAGGGAGGTCACATATCACAGTGCATGTATCACCTGCATATTTCACCAACTGTCAAGGTTTGGTGTCCTGTGGAGGAACAAATTGACTTTTTTTTTTTTTTTTTTTTTCCCCCAACATGATCAATAAATCTCAATGATACCATCAGGAACAAAAAAAATCAATATTTGCCCACATACAGGAGAAGAATTTAAGGAGGCAACAAAACAATGTCCTACAAGCTATATTTTTTCACACACCAGTAAAACCTCCATATGATATTAATGTGTTAATGTGGTAGAACGGTTTATTAAGTGAGATGCAGAATGCTGGGTGATATATGCTCAGAAATGTCAGTCACAATGCTGCGAGCATGTAATCAGTGTGTTAGTAGCCAATGATCAGTGAACTTCTGATTTCCTAACTCCCCTCATGTAAACAGCACACCGTGTTGAATGCACACACAGGGCACGCGAGACAGCAGGTACCACTGCATTATAACAAATGCAGGAAAGAAAGATGTTTTCCTTTGATGTGTTTTGGCAATGCTTAGGTATATTACATCACTGATTTTTTACATGGTTTTGGTCCATGAGTAGTTGCTAATGAAGAAGAGGGTTATCTGGACTTGCTTCTGATGAAATCCCAGGGTCCTCTGTCTTTAACCTCCCACTTTTCCCAATTAATTTGTAACTGGTCACTTTTCTCATGCTGGAACACCAGGCATACCTGTGGGCCATAGACAATAGTGCTGTGTGGCTGGGCTTGTGTTCAAATGAGCCGTAAACAGGTCTTGTGATTGATCCACCGCTTCAAATTTGCTTAGTCATTTCATTAATCTCAGACCAGTTTGTTCCAATATGTTCTTTCAGAGCAATAGAAAATGTCCCTTACGTAACTGCTGGTGTTCAGCAGTTCACCTGTCAAGTTTAAGGCTTGTCTGATTTGTCTGAGATCGGCTGCGTGCGTGGGAGAGCTCTTGTGGTTTCAGCGGGTCATCTCCTCAGGCATTGTAAAACAGACAGAGGTGCAAAAATGGGTTTTCTGAAGTGGGCTGCGGCAGAGAGCTGAGGGGAACACACTCTCCACCGCTCCCGCGTTAAAAAACCCTCCTTGGTGTGGGGAACCGCCATCCCTGAGGGCGACACGGAGCCCTCCGCCTCGGGGTCCCCGGGCCGCCGGGCGGGAAGGACGCGGGTGCTGAAGGGACAGCTCCGCGGGGGCTCCGCGGGGGCTCCGCGGGGGCGCGCCGCCCGCCCCGGCTTCCGCGGCCTTCGGCGAGGCGGCGGGGGCCGCGCACCGCGGACACCCGCCTCGCTCCGCGGCGGGGACCGCGGGCTTCCGCGGGCTGCACCCCGCGCTCCGCGGAGCCGGCGGCGCAGGCAGCGCTCGGCGCGATCACTTCCGTGTCAGGGCCGCTGCCTCCGCCGCCGCGGAGGGCGGGCGGGGGGGGGGGGGGGGCGGCGGAGGGCGGTGGGGCGGAGCGGAGCGCGGCCGCCGCCAGCCCCCCGGCACCAGCTGCTGCGGCAGGGAGAGGGCAGCGCCAGCCCCCCCTGCCCCGGCAGCCTGGGGATGGTCCTGCTTCCCCACGGGCCCCCCCACCCCCCCGCCTCCTCGGCCACCCCTCCTCCTCTCCCCGCCGCTCCCCCCGCGGCCGCCGGCCGACCCCGAGCAGCGGGGGGCAGCGCGGAGCCGTCCCGCCCCCCACGCCCCCCCCCCCCCACCCCGGCCCGGGCATCGCCGCAGCCTCCTCCTGCGGAGGGAGGCGGGGGCCGTGTGAGTGTGCAAAGTGGGAGAAAATCCCTCCGGCTCGCTCGGGGGGGCTGGGGAGATTTGGGGCTTTTCTTTCTTTTTTTCCTCTTTTTTTTTTTTTTTTTTTTTTTTTTTTCTTCTCTCCCCCTCCCCCGAAGCCACGTAGCAGCAGGTGACTGGCGCCCGCCCGCCGGGAAGGACCCTGTTTGTACCGGATCCCCCCCCCCCCCTCCCCCCGGATCATTCTACCGGGGGAGAGTGTGCACTGCGGCCCTTGCTCTGGGAATTGCTGCTGCTCTTCCGATTCGTCAGGGGCTTTCCAATCACCTGCTTCTGCCACCCTCTCCTCTCCGCTCTTTGTACTTTATTTTCACGTGCTCTTTACTAACACGGCTATTTTTAAATCCCGCTTGGATCTATTTCTTTCTCTCTTTCTCTCTTTTTTTTTTTTTTTTTTTTTTTTCCCCTGGGGGGGTGGGTGGGGGGAGGGAGGTTAACGTTTGCATCTCCCTAAGGGAAAGATCCCACCAGCCAACCCAGCTCCGCCACTGCTGCATCCATCCATTCATCTTTATGGTCACTAGCAGCCTATCCCGGTAGTAGAAGGTGCAGAGAAGTGGGAGGCAGAGAGAGAGAGGGAGGGAGGGAGGGAGGGAGAGATCCGGACAGCGAGAATGGCCGAGAGAAAGAGGAACTGGAATAAAGAAGATGACCTGCCTGTGTATCTAGCTAGGCCGGGTACGACAGCCCAGACACCGCGGCAGAAATACGGGGGGATGTTCGCCTCCGTGGAGGGGGCCTACGAGAACAAAACCATCGACTTCGACGCCTACAGCGTGGGGAAGAAGGGGTCCCGGACCCCACGCAGCGGCAGCCGGCACGACATGCTGGACGGAGGGGACAACTACAGCGAGACCGCCAGCGACATCAGCGAGGTCTCCGGCTCCGTCATCAGCTCCCCGGGAGACCGGGAGGACAAGACCCCGGGCGTGGAGATCAGATACCCCGTGGGGAAAGAGCTGCTGCAGGGCCAGGACAATGGGCAGGTGAGTGGGGCCAGAGCGGGGTCCCGGGCCGGGGGGCGGGAGCCGCCGCCCCCGTTCGCCGGGGGCACCGAGCCGAGCCGTACCGCAGAGCCCCGCTCATGGGCGCGGGGGGACGGGGGCCGCCTCCGCGGGGGAGTTTCGGCACGGAAGGTCGGGGAGGCGCGGACCCCTCCTCCCCGGCACGGTGATGCTGTAGGAAGAGCCTGGCTGCCCCCTAAACTATCTCACTTGCTGAGCTTAGTGGGGGGGGCGGTGGGGGGAGGGCGACCCCAGAAACCGTTTTCCTTTGTAAGTGATGGCGATGAGTTTTCGCCGTTTCCCTTCCTGCCGGTAACACGCTGCCCATGGCGGATGGGCTGGAGGGCAGCCCGGGCCCCCTCGGCGCCTCCCCGCCGCCCCTCCGGAACAAAGCAGCCGCCGCTGCACTCCTGGGCTCGCCGGGAAAACTCCGCGGAGCCTGTCCCGGGCACAGCCCCCGGCTCTGCCCCGGCCGCGGCTCTGCCCCTGGCTCCCCCCGCGCCCCAGGCACGTTCATTGTCTCCCGGGCAGGGAGCGCGTAAGGCGGCAGGATCGGCCCAAACCTTCCCCCGGGGTTCCCCACCTCTGGGGCTGCAACCTGGGCTCATACTTAAGGAAAAAGTGAGGCCGGTGGGGCTGGCTGGCCGCTGCCAGCCGTGCCGC